GATGTGAACATACACTCGTGACTCGTACATAGCCCATAGCAAGCAATTAATGTTAGGAACACTAATATCAAATCGATCAGGTTTTTTGAATTTTTAACTAGTTGAGAAATAATCTTATCAGGTAAGAATTTGACAATACGTTTAGTCCCGTTAGTTCTTACTTTTAATGTAAAAAATGGCAACAATAATTTTACAAATTTTACCATAGAAAATTCGTGACGTAGTCAATTTAAGTTCGAATTTACAGTGAGAAATTAAAATACAATAATATTCTATACATACCAGTTGTTTCCCCATTCAATCATTGTTCCTGGCTGTAGAGAAAAACATTGCCTTTAGTAACAAAACTGATCAAATCTCAAGATATAGGTTTTGTAGGTAAATAGTCTAAACACGAAACTTTCTGAAACAGCACTGACCTGAACGTTTGCCCTTTTGAATTTGAAAAAATAGAGGGCAACATCTTTTTAAAACAACAATTACCAGTACAGTTGCTTGAGACGGGTGCTGTGTATTTTACGTTGATAAAGATCACATATGCCCTAAAAAGTAAAGTGCCGTATTAAAGAATTTTCGTGTACGGCGGCTCTAAACTGATCTTGCCGTCAATAAGAATCAAGCCGCGCCGGTTTCAACCATTCCCCATTCTGACATCGAGGCCAGGAAATCACTCAGCTTGGAACTATATCGCTAGTTGTTTCGGATCTCGACAGCCGGTAAATCACGGCAAAGTGCGCACGCGTGGGGGGAACTTTCTACGCTGGTACGGCTCACCCTCAGTAAGTAGCTACGCATCTCGTAGATGTGTGTTGGCGGGCGTGGCTCGGGCTCAGGCCAGAAGCTGAACTCCAGCAGCAGCTGGTTGGTCCGGGATCGCAGCATGCATCGCAGCTTATGCAATAACTGTCTGTATTCCTGGAGAGAAACGCAAATTTTTTAATGCATATACATGTAATATGTATATGTATGTAAATACAATACAGTGCTCAATATTAAGGTTTTTGGGGGGGTTGTCCGGTGGACAACCAAGAGAGTAGCATATGGTTGTCCCTCAAGAGTTTTGGTTGTCCGGATATTATTTAAACATGTGCTGCATGCGCTCTGCTCATTCTATAATCTATAATCTATAATATGACACTCCTGATCATAGCTGATACGAGAAGAATGTCACATTGTAATTTTAATCGATGGCATTGACCCAGGTACTTTGCGTAAGTTCGAGGCCACGGACAGTGACCCTAGCCTCATGAAACACATGGATAAGATGTGTCCTGTACCGCAACAGCTGCACCTCACCGAGGGAACGCAGGTGATGCTAGCAAAGAACGTGGACGTGCCGTGCGGCCTGGTGAACGGAGCGAGAGGTGTCGTCACCGGGTTCGACAAGTCACGCGATGGTCAGTTACTCCCCCTGGTGTCCAACTTAGAAATCTATAGCTATATAAGAGTATTGATATTATCAGGGGTTAATAATGACAAATCTGTCATTATTAACCCCTGATATTATCACAAGTATGATAATAAGCTTCGGACATTATTATTATTATAAGGGTTAATTAATCAATATTGATTACCAGTCAGTCAGTAATTGTCATTGTGTATATCACTTACAAAATAATTGTAAATTAACTGTTTCACACAGCATGCACCTTACTGTGTAGACCATCTATTCATGCACATTAGATGCTTTGTCAAACAAGTGATTTTTAAATATTCCTTCATATGCAGGTCTGCCAATAGTGAAGTTTCTCTGTGGAGTGGAGCAGTCGGTGAAGGCAGAGCGATGGTCTTGTAAGGCTGGCGGTGGCTTCTTACTAACACGCAGGCAAATACCACTGAAACTCGCATGGGCCATCTCTATACACAAGAGTCAGGTAGGAGGGCAGTTCACATAAACCTATAGATGGCTATCTATAATCATCATCTGAGTTACATTCAGTCATTTATAAGACGGGTACAAAAGAAGTAACAGTAAAATAGCAAAACCGTAGTTGGCAGAGAGCATATTTAATGATGCTAAATAAATCATTTTTCATTGTTTTCACTCGGTAAACGTTAATTTCTAATGTGGCTCTCTGGGTGGTGCTGCTTGTGTCCAATTCCACATAAGAACAAACAAGGATACCCTTTCCAGCAATGAATTTTGAAGTCTGTGACATTCAACGCTGCTACCAGAAGCTAATTGTATGCTGACAAGATCTTATTCACAGAGTGCATACATGTATTATTTCATATTGTTGTTTACAGGGCATGACACTGGACTGCGTAGAAATGTCTCTATCACGTGTATTCGAAAGCGGGCAGGCGTACGTTGCTCTTTCTCGTGCTAGCAGTATGCAGGGTCTGCGAGTGCTTGACTTTGAACCCACGTGTGTGAGAGCCAACCCACAGGTTGTCCAGTTTTACCAAAAGTTGAGAAAAGAAAAACGTATGATGGCAAACATGATTGATAGTGAGAACAAGGAGAATATACCTCCACACTAGTGTCACTCGGGACTGCGTTGCCTTGCCGACAACCAAACTGGTATTCTAGGAAATTTTGTACAAAGAAATGTATGTGCATGCTATGTAATTATTTCTAGTGTATTTAGCAGTCACATTGCAATTATGCACCTTTCCCTATACTTTTCTTTTGTCGATTATTATTCTGTGTATATTAGCTTACAACAAGACTCCTCAAATTATGTAAATACCAACTAATACATTTGACGTGCCATATTTTTGGGTGGAACAGCAATCTACATTACCACTCTCAAATGACATGTCACCTGCCATACTCAATTGTTGTTTCAATCTAGTTACATGGCAGTTTGTATTACATGTTTTTATATCACCTCATCTTTTCTTTGGACAATGTTACGGCATGCTGTAATGAATTTTGATGGCTGTTTCAGTCTATATATATTGACCAGATTATTTATGTAACATTTTTACTGTGGATAAGAAATTTGGCTGTATCACACAATATCTTATAACCAAAGTTTTTCATATGAAATATAATTTTTATACTGATAAAACGGGATTTTCTCCTCATGTTTGTCATTTTTTTTACACCAAGGTACTTACATAAATCATTGCATTTATGAAGATAAATACGCATGGAGCCTATAACGTATTTCTGCTTACAAAAGCATTGCACAAAAAGACTCAGACAACTTTTTAAATTCTTCAGCAGAAATGATTTATTTCATGTTTACTTTAAACAGACTGCTCCACAGAAACCATGTGTCCAGTGATGGGACTGCTAGCTTGAGAAATATTGCCTCGGGTTTTCCATTAAGATGAACCTGAAAAGAAACATGCACAATCATCAGATATTTCTCAATTCTGTTTATTATAGAAGTTGGGTATTTTGTAGGCTCACTTACCATAAGTAAACCCTAGAAGTAGTTTTCAAGATAAACGAGTAAAAACAAAACTAAAGTTGCCTTTAAGAAATCATTCCACTAATAAACTATAACGAAGTGGCTATATGCCCGGCAGCCGGGCACGGTCTTCGATTTCCTAAATGCCTGGCAGTTTTTAATTTTTGGTGATTTCTCAAGTAAACAGTGTACCACGTGATCCAAAGTATTCTACATTTGTTTAGAAATGTCAAGCGATTTTCGTTAGAGCTGTATATTCGAACTAGCCCAATTCTCCTAGCTTCGGATCACTGAGTGAACGAACTCGCAATCGACACTTAGAAAATATCTGACGGCTGCCAGGCACGGTCTTCGATTTCCTATATTCCCGACAGTTTTAAATTTTTCGGTGATCTCTCAAGTAAACAGGAGGGTTAGGGTTACGGTTAGGGTGCCGGGAATATAGCCACAGCGAAATTATAACCTCATAAAGAGTCATCTTCAATGGACTGTATCGAAGGAGAGTCTAGGCTAAACATAATGCTAGATCAACTATTATAAACTATAGAATAACTACATAATAACTACTGTCAGCGTTGTAGTTTTTTTAAATTCTGGAATTGCATCATTTTTTCTCATGACAAGACATCGGTTGATGCAGTACGAGATTAATTAAACCAGAGCTACGCTGGATGGTATCACGAGCTTTACCTCACTGTCGAAGAATTGTGCCTCCTATCTCAGTCTCCTAGCTTCTCGCTCAGACTCCAACAGCGTGAGGATGTCTCCCTCGCGCACTGGCCCCTTCACATTACGAATGATGGATCGAGTAGTCTCATCCAGGAATTCCACACGCACCTGCGTGCACTGACCTTGTGAGCCCGTTCTTCCGAGAACTTTGTTTACCTATAGAAAAATAATGGTGATTGTTAGTCTACGTTATTAAATAGCTAACTATGCAATAATCTTGGAACAGACAAGCATAATTCTAGTCACTACGTACGTTACCAAACACGGATACTCAGTCATACTGCACGACTTGCTTTGCGAAATGCATGAATCATTGCCACGCTAATTGGGCAAATTACTTAAATGCCCACGGCCAGTTTCCGTAACCCTGAACCCTGTAACCACCGTAACAAACCCCTAACGCCTAGCCCCGTCAAACAACCCTAACCCTACTCCTCGACTCCTAACCCTAACCTTGATCTTACCCTTGAGATAACGCTAAAATGTAAAAACTGCGCGGCATCTTAGGAACATCGAATAGACCTGGCCGGGCAGCCGTCAGTATTACGCCGCTGCCCGTGGCATATAGCCACTGTGTGCATCTACAACACGGAACCTTTCTCCCTATCATGGAACTTGACGTATGTATCACAATACTCTGTATTAAACTAATATAACCTCGCACTACAAAATTCACAAGCGTCGTACCGGAGCGCCGAGACTCCCCTCGAGCCGCCATTTCTGTTCACCTTGACGCACGCAATTCCCAGACTCGGCGTTATAGCCCGTCTCGGGCTAACTTCGGCTCAACGATCGACAATGCACTCTGCGGAGCCTCCTGCTCAGTCATAACCTCACCTAGAGCCAGCATGACAGGCAACACAGGAGCCGGAAGGACTTACTTTGTACTAGGTTGAGGTGTATGAGTACCGCCGCACTTACCGGTATCACTGTATGTAATTCTAAGTTCAGTTTAAGTTGTAAATAATCTTAGTATTAAACTATGCCACTGTAAATCCCTATTTAATTAATTCACTCGTTGCGCTAAGTTCTTGTTGTGCATTAATACACAGTAATTTTACCATTAAATTAAGCTAAAATTGTGTAAAGCTATGACTGAGTATGAAATTGTTAAACATACACACACCCGATCTAATGGAAGCTGACATATTGGATCTCGCGGAAATCTCGCGAGATCGTTCTCTTGTTACTGCATGGTGAACCTTTGAAGATGGAGGCAAAAACTGCACCGATTAGATTGGCCCGAGTAAGCGTAACTGTATTATTTTTAGTGTTTTCGGAAGAATCAATTAATCCTTAGAAACGTCCATATCTACACAATATATTTAGATGAACATTAAACTTTTAATAAGTAATTTTGCCGCCAGGCAGTTAGCTGGTCGGCGGGGCAATGGATTCACTGCAATCTTCGCCCGAAAGCCAGAGGGCTGCAGTATGATGAGTATCGTATCCGTGTTTAGAGCTAACGTAGCGTGGGAGGGGGTGACTTAGAATTCATGCGTTGTCTGTTCGCGAAGATTATTGCATAGTACGTGTTTGAGAGTAAGCGGTAGACTAACTAAGTCACGCATATTTTTTCTATGAGGTAGAACAAAGTTCTCGGAACGGACAAGAACGGCCGCACGAAGACGAGGTTCAGTGGCCGGCAGCCGGGCCGGTGTCGGAGAATTCCTGGCTGAGGACTACTGCGATCGACTCTAATGGCTGAGGAGCGGGGCGTGGCGAGGGGGCCGAACATCTTCACGGCTGTGTGGAGGTGCTGAGCGAGGAGAAGCTACGAGACGTGAGATAGGCAGGCAGCAATTCTTCGACAGTGACGAAAGCCTCGTGTATACACCATTGCCAGCGTGAGGCTCTGGTTTACATTAGATTTCTGCGTACGTGCATCAAGCGGGAGAGATGTCTTGTCATTGAGAGGGAAAAAGATGATGGCGAATGCCGAGAATTTAAAAAATACAACGGGGCTGAGCAGTAGGTTATTATGCTGGTTGTATTCTGATATGTTTATAAGTAGGTGAGTCTAGCATCCTAGTGTTAGCCTAGACTTCCGCTTCGGTACGCAGTCCATTGAAGGAGGCCGTTATGGAGGTCTATCAATCTGCGCCTGTGGCCTAGTATCTCCGGCGGGGCCCTAAACGTAATCCCCCCAGCCCGCAAACGGACCGCGCTGTCGTGTGTACTTTCACCAGCCGAACAACAACATCTTAATACCTCTTGCCTGGGCAAGTATACACGGCGATGAGATTCGTTCGGCGGTCTGGCGACACACCTCCGCGGATTTGAAGGTCCAGGGGGCCGGTCGATTTGGCTGAAACGTCTGAAATTCGTTGAGAACAAATTGCCCGGGCGCGAGGGCAGTAACAATGTCACACAATCTTAAATTGTATTAACGCTCAGACGGACACCTGACGTGGGTAGGACTGTTAGAGTGTAGGACAGGGGTAGTAGGCTGAGCACCCGAAGGCGTATAGCGAGGTGTGATCTGATGGTTTGTGCGGGGTGAGGGGCGGCAGAACAAAGCCACGCATCGTCGGTTCACCAGGCTGGCAGTGTACGCGGGGCAGGACGACTTTGCGGTAGCTCAGACGTAGGACGACCTAGCGTCGGGCGCTGGGGCAGCCGGCGGCCGGGACCCGCTCCGTCTACATGTTGCTGCGTGATGGTGGTGTGTCGGATGGACTGGATGCCACTGATGTGTCATTCGCATTGTGTTTTTTTTCCATTCAATCGCAATATAGAGTCG